AGGAGGGAGGGAGGGAGGGAGGGAGGGAGGGAGGGAGGGAGGAAGGAAGAAAGAAAGGAAGGAAGGAAGGGAGGGAGGGAGGGAGGGAAGAAGGGAGGGAGAGAGGGAGGAAGGAAGGAAGGGAGGGAGGGAGGAAGAAAAAGAGAGAAAAAGACTGAAAGGATAGAGATGAACAGAGGGTCAGGTGAAGCCTAAACTTGTGGTTATACATCTCCGAGGAGACGAGACAGGGGCTGGGAACACTTTCTAATCTGCAAAGATCACATGAAAATACATAGATTAAAGGAAGGTTTGTGGGCTGACCTTGGACAATCTGGGAATTTCCTAATATCCTGTCCTGGATGGACCTGGAGAACTTCACGTCTGTCTTTCTGTTCTAACTTAAAAAGGATCTCTTATTCTTTTTGTTTTGTTTTTTTAAATCCTCACCCAATGATATGCTTTCATTGCTTTGAGGGGGTGGGGGGCGGGGGAGAAACATCGATTGCCTCTGTACTCAATCCGACCTGGGATTGAATTTGTAATCTTTTGGTGTACGGGACAACGCTCCAACCGACTGAGCCACCTGGCCAGGGCAAGAATCCCTTATTCTTTTTGTTGTTGTTGTTAATCCTTAGCTGAGAATATTCTTCCATTGATTTTTTAGAGAGAGTGGAAGGGAGGGGGAGAGATAGAGAAACATCGTTGTGAGAGAGACACATCAAGTGGTTGCCTCCCTGGACTGGGGAGGGGATAAAGTCTGCAACTGAGGTAAAGTGCCCTTGACTGGAATAGAACCTGAGACCCTTCAGTTCTCGGGGCCAAAGCTCAATCTACTGAGCCAAACCGCACAGGGAAAGAATCCCTTATTCTTGACCATTTTCTTTTGTTGTTGTCATCGGTACCTTGTTTTCTTCTAGTTATGCTTGGGGTTGACTCTTTTAGTTTGGTCTTTCTGTCAGTGGGTACATATGGAAATTTGTGGAATTATAGACATTTAGATTTGAGAGAACACTGGGCATCATGCAGCAATATCTCCCCCACCCAGGAAAACCCTTTTCAACATTCTTATTATATGGCTGGCCATCCAACCCCTTGCTTAAATAATTCGTTAGCTGTGTTGGCTAAGCCGTCCCATCCCACCCTGCCCAGCCAGTGTATTCCAACAACCAACAGGTCTCGATGCTCTCCCACACACTGAGCCAAGATGTGTTCCTTGATAAATATACCCACCGGCTCTGGGCTCTGGCCAACATTCCTGGAGCAACACAGGCATAGCCTTTTGTTGACTCTGTTACATAACAACAGAGTGGTTTGGGGCAAGGTAGCTGATCTCTTGTACTGCAGTTTCCCCCTCTATAATACAAGGGTGATAATGGTACCCACCTCATAAGGTTATTAGGAAGGACCACATGAATTAATTTACATATACTTAGAATAGTGCCTGGCACATAATATGCACCATTGGTGCTTATTAGGCTATCATCACTGCTATTAGCATGATTGTGCTGTTGCTGCTGCTGCTGTTACCATATAATATTACAGTATTATGATATTATTACATATTGATGTTAATATAATATTATCACCTGATGGTGGTGAATAGATGAAAAGGTATCTTCTGTAGTCGGTTACACTAGCCTTCTCTTTTCATTCATGTGGGTAAGCATATAAGAATATCTGCCCGAAGCTGTAACCTCCTAGGGAGTAAGCGGCACTGCATAGGTGTCTCTGGGTGTAACACTCCCACTGGGGATAAATATCATTCGCTTCATTCATTCCCTCATTCACGGGCCTCCTAATGTCCTTAGAAAATGAGGATGAGTTAGGAGGATGAGGATGAAAGGAATGGAAGCTGCCTTTGTTCCGGAACTATAGAGGATCCTTATTTAGCAAGTAGAGGCCAGGTGCACAAAATTCTTGCAGGGGGTGGGGGAGGCCTCAGGCCGGCCTGCACCCTCTCACAATCCAGCACCGCTCGCTCCTGCCTGCCTGCCTGATTGCCCCTAACCACTTGCTTGCCTGCCTGCCTGCCTGATCACCCCTAACCGCCTCTGCCTTGGCCCCCGCTGCAGCGACTTCATCCGGAAGGATGTCTGGAAGGATGTCCGGAAGGTTGTTCGGCTGTCCGGTCTAATTAGCATATTACGCTTTTATTATTATAGATTCTACCTTCACAGGAGGAGGTGAGACCACTTCTACCCTCCCAGGAAACAGAGGAGGAAACTGACATTTATTTCCCATTGCAGATAGAATCCTTCACATCTGTTTCGCTGACTCCTCCCACCAACTCTGTGAAGTAGGTGAGTGCAGAAACCGGGCCTCCGAGCGTTTAAGAACTTTGCTCCTGGTCGTGGTGAGATCCAGATCCAGGTCACCGGGTCGCAGAGCCCACCTCTCAGGAGAAGTCTGTGGTGCGCATAAAGGGCTGTGATCCTGAGCTGCGCCTGCCATGCCTGGTGTGCTCAGTTCCTATTTACTTAAGGGGCCGAGTGCAAGATAAACATTTAGGCAAAGTTTGAAAGAGGGAAAGAGTCTGCTGTTGGAGCCCTTTTCCAAACCAACACAAGAGATGCAAGGTGTTTAAATTGGCCCCAGGTTGACCCAGAACTAGAATTCAAGGTTGTGGAAACGGGTGCTCCATAGAAACTTTACAGTCTTATTTACCTTGACTGAGAAGTGTGGAGAGGAATTTCCTCCACGTGGGGAAGCGTTTCCCATTGACTGGCTGAGCGTGCTGTGCTAAAAGGCCCGCCAGCTCCTCGGAGATCTTCATCAAAGCTGGCTCCTGCAGAAACAAATTAAATAGAACCACAAGCAATTTTACTACAGAAATGAAAACTGCTTGTGGAGTGATTAAAAACCAGGCCTCCAACAGGCAAAAAAAAATGTGGTTACTGTTTACCCAGAGTCAGAAAGCCATTTTGAAAAGTTTCTCTATTTTCCCAGCCACTTCCGTTTTCATATTTCAAAGTGATGTGGCCCCTAAATGTTGCTGCTCACGTGCCTGTTGTCCCTGCAAGGCAGCCTCTGTCTGCGCAGCAGGCAATCCGGGTTTCGGCCCACGGCTGCCTGACCAGCTGTTGTCCTTGGGCAATATGCCTCCCCACTCGGGGCCTCAGTTTCTCATTCTGTAAAATCAGATCCATTAGACCTGAATGTTTTTATTCTACGACTCTACCAGGGCTGACCTGGGAGAAATTAGAGTGGGGAGGGTCTTTCTTGGGCACCTCCATCTCTTTAAACTGTGCCCCCTCCCCCCTGGTGGGGGGTTTCCATGTAACCATGTGAACAAAACCTTAAACTTTGGGCTGACGCCGTAAATGTGGGGCGTTAGGTGGGGGCAGGTTGGAAGAGTGAGGTGAGGAGGGGGGCTGGCCCCAGCTCCCCACATTCCCCATGAGTCACAGCTTCAGTTGACTAGATGTGAGCCTGGCCTCCTAGGATCATAAAACAATCTCAAACTACAGAGCCTCCGGTCAAAATGAAAACAGTAGGAAACCCTCTTATGCATAAGAAGCTTGGCTTTTTTATATAAAAAGCCTTGGTTTGCCAGGACAATTTTTATTTTTAATAATCTTAGACTGTCTAAACATTTTCAAAGAGAAGAGACTATCTAAACACTTTCAAATGGAAGCCATCTTTAGATTTCATTTCTGCATGAAGTAGGGCAGGGCTGAAGATGTAAAACCATGTAATGGGCAGTATTCATATTTTAAATATGGGATGCTCAGCTGGTGTGGCTCAGTGGTTGAGCATTGACCTATGAACCAGGAGGTTATAGTTTGATTCCTGGTCAGAGCGCATGCCCAGGATGCGGGCTCGATCCCCAGTAGGGGATGTGTGGGAGGCAGACGATGGATGATTCTCTCCTGTCATTGATGTTTCTCTCTCTCTCTTCCTCTCTCTGAACTCAATTAAAAAAATAAAATAAAATATGGGACACTGGCAAAAAGAACTCAGGCTTGCTTTAGGCTGCTGAGAACTTCCAAATCTATGAGTGAAGTCTCAGTAATTTGGGGATTGGGGGAAAAAATCAGCTTTGGGGAGTGGGGCTAGAAGGAATCAGAAATAATCTGTAAGCTCATTTATTTCCACGTTCCCTGACATTAAAAAGTGATTTCCTCCCCCTCCCCCCCAGCTCCTTGGCACACCTGGCTCATTCTGGGTCCAGTGCCCTCTGAACATCTACATTAGAAGACAAGCATCTGAGAATATATATACCCTAGGCAGGTCCGAATAATCTGAATAATTTCTGAATACCCAGAAATATCCAGAAAATCCTGGCGGGAGGATCTGATTAGGTAGCTTAGCAAGTGCTTGCACACAAAACAAGAATGCCAGGAGAAGGGGAGTGCCCTGGACCACACTCATTCAGGAGGCTCCCAGCACAGTGAGGGGAGTCTGTGAAGAAGGGCTCAGGGAGGGGGGGGGGCGGCGTGCTGCAGCCCCTGCCTGGGGAGGTGGAGGCAGGGAAAGCGCTGCTAGAGCAGGGGTCTTTCCCCTTCCATATCTTGCACACTGTACATGGCTGTCCTGCTCTTACTGCCCATCCCATCATCTCTCACAGGCCTGCATCTAAACCACAAACAAGTGCACAGGACACGGTCTGGCAACCTCCGTCTTTGAGCACTGTCCTCCAAACGCCTTTCTTTTCTACACTTGTTTCCGTTAAAACCATTCTACCTTATTGACGAGACTGATTGTCTGTGATTCATGAAGTGGCCGACAGCTGGGACCAGGAAGCATAGCTGTGGATTCCCACCCTGCTCGGGACAACCGAGTTCAAGGAAGGGAGCCCCGCAGGTTGGGCCCTCTCCCAGGACAGCGAGACTTCCCTTTTGTTCCGCCTTCCGCCTGCTTCCGACAGGGGTTGAACCATCTTCCCAGGGATCTGTTATGTGATCATTCACATCAAGACATCAAAGGGAAAGAATTCACTCATTCATTCATTCATTCATTCACCCATCCACATAAAAAATTACAGGTACAGTAGAATGATGGTTGTCAGGGCCGGGGGAGTAGGGAATGGGGAGTTAATGTTTACTGGGTACAGAATTTCAGTTTTATAAGAGGAAAAGAGTGATGGAGATGGATGGTGGTGATGGTTGCAAGACATTATAAACCTATTTAATACCACCCAGCTGTACACTTAAAAGTCGTTAAGATGGTAAATGTTATGCTGCATGTATTTTAGCACAAGAAAACTGGGGACAATGACAGGATGTCAGGCCTTTTAAGTTGCTGAACTAGGGAAAGACGTGTTTAGGGACTGGGGGAGATTGCCATGGAGAGGATGCAGTCCAGGAGGAGGTGAGAGCCTGGCCACCTAAATCTTGAAACTAGATCTCCACCCACTTGACACCTAAGGAAGGGCCTCTGTACCTGCCTCTGGTCCCTAATGTAGCCTCGCTTGCCTCCTCTCCAGCTCCCAGCCTCACCCCTGCTGCCTTGGGCCCATCTCAACAGTCTGCCTTCCTTCCTCCTCTCCTCCCCTGGCTGCCTCCTTCCGACCCTTTGGCCACACCTCCACCAGGAAGCCTTCTCTGCTGCCCAGTGGGTGTCCTCTCTCTGCTCTCCAGCTCCTCAGTGGTGTGGTCGGTGGCTTTGAGGTCAGTCTCCCCAGCGCTCGGCACAGGGAGCACTAAATGTTTGCGGAATGAATCCTGGCAGCAGTAAACACAGGGACCCAGCCCTGAACAGCTGAATAAGAGAAAATGGGAACCAGGCTCCCTCCTTGCTGCCCAGGAACTGCCCGAGTGATGACCACTGAGGAAGCACGAATCTTCCTGGGTGGAGGCTACGGGATTCCTGCCTCTGAGGGGCACTGGGAAGAAAAGTGAGGTGGCGTTTATGAAGTGTCACCTCAGATGCCGCCTGCTGTGTGAGGGCCAATGAGAAATCAGAAGACGGCAGCGGGCGGGAGGCATCTGGACACTGTGCCAGGTGCCACCGCCACCTCTGCTCACAGGCCAGCCGTGTGGCAGGGCTCGTTTCCCAGAGGGAAGTCTGCTGTGGGAATGGGAGGGTGACTGAGTCCTGTCATGAGAAGTCCACTGCTGGGGGCGCGGGTGGGGTGACACTCAGTGGGGGATGCTGGGACCCACAGAGGCAGCTCGGGCCATGATTATCTCTCTGAGGAAAAGACGTGGAGACAGATAATGGGGAGACAAGTAAGTTAATATCTGTTAACTTATTTCTTTATTTTTAAAGCACCTGGTAGGAAATATAGTAATTCTACTAAGAGTGGCCTTAATACCAATAAATTATCCCTCTATGCCTACTAAAAAAAAAAATACAGCAGGACCTGCAACTTATATTTAAGAAAGGGCAGCAAAATGATATTCTGTGTAAGAGATTCAATTTACCCCACGCCTGACCCCTTTCCCCAAAACCACCCTCCACAGCACAGTGCCTGCTGGGGACTCAGCTGCTTGTGAACTGGGGGGTGAGGCCAGAGCTCAAATCCAGGTGCCAAGGCCTCCAGCACAGCAGCTGACAAGCTGAGACGCCGCTTCCTGAGGAGCAAGCGGGCGCAGTGGTCACACAGGGCCTCCTGATGTCGGCTGTGAGTTCTCAGTACTGGGGGCAGTTTCTGTTCGCTAGTGATTATCATTCTGCATAGTGCAAACATAATGACTGCACCTTTAAGGGCGGATGCTGGCAAGGAAAGATCTATAGCTATTTGGGTTCATACTGTTCAGAATAAACTTAAATACACACACACACACACACACACACACACACACGGACACAGCCAAGCCAGAGAAACCCCCAAATTCATGTGGACCATCAAACAGTATTTATAGAACACTTTCTCTTGTCAGAGCAGGCTCCCGTTCATTCTCATCCAGTCCTTCTGGTAACACTCGGAGGCACAGCGCCCTCCCTTACAAATGGGAAGCGGAGGCACCAGGAGGCCTGTGCCAGGTCACCTGCCGAGCTGTCACATTCTGTTATTGGTTGGTTTTTAACATGTGACTGAGAACAGAAAGCAATGGCGCTGGGGAACCATTGCTCGTCTGCTTTCTTTTCTGCTTTCTCACCCTCCCAGAGTGTGTGTGTGTGTGTGTGTGAGTGTGTGAGTGTATGTGCGTGTGCGTGTGTGAGTGTGTGTGCGTGTGCGTGTGTGTGTGTGAGTGTGTGTATGTATGAGTGTGTGTGCATGTGAGTGTAAGAGTGTGTGTGTGTGTGTGTGTGTGTGTGTGTGTGTGTAGTCTGTTATAGGCCAGCAACTGGGCACATGTTCTCCATCTTAGAAACTTGGGAGTCAGTGTCTTTTCATTGAGCCGCATCAAGGTAACGGACCCCTGAGTCAGTGTTTCAGAGCTCCTATCACCCACCTGGAGCCGACCACTGAGACCCGTGACTCTGGGGCTGTGGAAAGTCTGTACCTTGTTGACAATAAGCAAATGTTAGAAAAATATCTTTTACTTTTTGGAAAAAAATCAGAATTCCAGATTTTCATTCCATCAGGATTGCTCTGGCTCTGCTCATCACAGTAGCTGCTGGCCTGTGTGGAGCCGATAACTCCAGAGCTGTTCCCACCTCTGCACAGCCTGTCACCTTTTGTCCAGCACCCACACTGATCCCTCAGCCTTGTCACCCTTTGTCCAGCACCCACACTGATCCCTCAGCCTGTCACCCTTTGTCCAGCACCCACACTGATCCCTCAGCCTGTCACCCTTTGTCCAGCACCCACACTGATCCCTCAGCCTTGTCACCCTTTGTCCAGCACCCACACTGATCCCTCAGCCTGTCACCCTTTGTCCAGCACCCACACTGATC